TTGAGTATACTCCTCCGCCAACAGGAGGTTTTATTAGGAGCTTCTTCGCCAGTCAAAAGGCGCGCGGGCGGGGTGAGCTCTTTGGACAGTCAAGCGACTTCGCGGCCTTCCTGGACGTGCTCAAAGCGCGATGTGACTTTTGGCACATGGAGGGGGCTACTGATTGGCGACGTCGTGAAGAACAACCTAGGGACCTTACTCAAGGGCCTCAAACAGCACTTGAGCGCGGCGAAATCGACAACATCGAGGCCGCAAGCCCCCTCCAAGACGTCGGCACACTCGGCAAGGTTGAAAATCAGGAGCATACTACGGGACTCGAGAAGCCCGCAAAATACTTTCTTCCGACGGACGGCGAGGTTGCTTGGCGGGGATTATGCACACAACCGAGTGATGGAGACTGGAGCCCTGCATCACTGGTAGTCTACGGGCGAACGATTTCGATCCCTCATCAAGGCGATGGCAGAGTATACTGGGACTTTGCGAAACTTGTTGAGGCCTTCGGTCCAGCTGACTACATCACCATGGCCTCGACTTACCATACGTTTTTCATCGACAACATTCCCGTCTTGACAGTGCTGCAGAAGAATGAAGCACGTCGCTTTATCACTCTCCTAGATGCTTTGTATGAAGCAAAGTGTAAACTCGTCGTCCGCGCGGCCAGAGGGCCGGATGAACTATTCTTCCCTGATACGAGGGCATTAGGTCGCAAGGACGCGGACGGAAACCCAGTGGTGGACGCCGATGCTATCCACAGCGAGACTATTGCCGAAGTGTATCAAGATAGCTCCTCTCCGTTCCGTCCCAACATATCCTTCTACGACACCGCTTCGTCGACCTCCAAATACGATCCGGACCAAGATTCAGACTTTGGCTTGAACGATGCAAAGGAGAAGGCTAAGAAGGTGGACTTTGGCAACACCAGCGCCTTCACTGGCGAGGATGAAAGGTTTGCATACAAACGAGCAGCAAGCCGGCTGTGGGAGATGTGTAGCGCCCAATGGCACGCCCGGACAGGAGACTGGTGGCAGCCGCTTCCAGCAGACGCAAGACATTGGGAGAGGGGAGCGCCGTCCACGCCGCTGAAGGTCAATATAAATGAGGCTGCCAGGTCGAGCAATGATGCGACCATGGGCCCCTCTGTAGAGCTTGAAGAACCGGCTGGTCTTCAGGGACTGAGAGTTGAGGCGATGAAGAACCTGGAAAGATGGAGGAAATAGTTGACCATTTTCCACAGGTGATGTTTTTAGCCATGGAACCTTCCAACACCAGACTCTAGACAGTAGCCACCAGGCGATGACCGTCCAATATGAAGCATTCCGGAACGCCGTCGCCATGAATCCAACCGTGTGACCTGGAATGACCGTCTTCAGACGGAGTCCATCACCGAAACGAGCCGATGCATCACAAGCTTGTGACGCCCGGCGTCCAACCCTCGCCGATGCGGCGTATCTCCCCATCGAACTTGCGGCTCGTGATCCTCTTTCCTCCCTTGCCCATGACCTCGTCCGGCTCGAAGAATGGGTTTCTGCACGAGCCGTACGTACGCGCTCTGTACCGCGCGGAACACAACCTTCAACTCCCCATCCCTCAACCCGACACCACCGCCCCGCGGACCCCCGTCCCTGTGCCCGTGGCAGACTTTCGATCACCACCAAAGACGCTGCCATCGACGCTCCGCCCGCGCATGTCGACTACGACAACAATTTTGACGCCCGTGTTCGTCTCGAAGCCGTAAGCGGCGAGGCGCTCGTCGACGGCGTGGAGGAGGCCAAAGTCGCCAGAGAGCCCGGTGCCAGTGCCTGCAGCGTGGCGAGCGCGGAGTTCAAAGACATCGAGGGTCGAGGAGAGGAGGAGGGAGAACTGGAGAGGCGTGCGAAGGGGGGCGAGAGTGTTGGTCTGCGGGTTGAAGGAGGGGAAGATGGAGACATGGAGGGGGTTGTTCTGGACGAAGGACAAGGCTGTTAGCTGGGAGGACAGAGGAGGCAAGGTGGCCAGGTGGGAGAGAGAGTAGCTGCACGCACTTCACGGCCGATTATGCCTATGCAGGCTATGGAGGGTATTGCGGTTGCCATTGGGGGCAGTGGTAGTCGCGTCACATTGGCGTTGGTGGGATCGTGGTTATTGGAGGGGCGTAATCACTACCAGGTTGTGGTGGTTTGGAGGTGTCGACGTAGGTGCACCTTAAGCTCGAGGTCAGGTTAGGCAGGGAGTGGGCGTTGTGAGACTTTGATGTAGTCTGGGGTAGACCTCCATATTAAATATACCTGTATATACCTATGAGAAACTCCAAATGCATCCGCTATGAGTCTCACCAAAGATCAGACAGCTGTTTCTTGGAAATTGACCTCTGAAGCTCGACATCTGAACCCTGACAGCCGGAAGTGATTTCTCTAGACTGACGAAATCGAAACCATGGCGAATTGCCTGGGTCACAAGTCATGTTCAGGAGGTTCGAGTGTGGGATATCGGTCCTGACGAGGGCGTCTTCTGAGGCTCAATGGTTAGGACACAACCAATCTAGACGCACTGACATGTCGTCCTTCAGCAGCATTGCTGAGTAGAGACAAGCGTGCCGTGGCTTTAGATTTCGGCTTCGGCACCATCAGAGACAACGATGTGGCTTCACGATCTTCGCACCTTCCATGATCATTGTCTTCTTAACTTCACCGCCTCGTCTCTCAACCGCCGATGAACTCTCGTGTGCCCATAGAATGACGAAAGTTTCGTTGATTGACATCCTCCGCTCCCCAGCGACCAACGAGCGACTGTGCCAATGGGCACGCGCTTCGGACCAATTTCCAGGGGCACTCGGCTGTCTGCCAGAAGAGGCGAGGCGTGTTCTAGTGCGGCTTGATAGGCCGGGGGCTGGGCTGGCCTTCACGAGATGGGTCTAGCCTCCGCCGAGCTCAGGACCAGGAGTTTGACGAGGTAATGTCGTTTTCCGAGGTCGGCGTCTCCATCAACGTGCCAGTGCATCACAGCGAAGCAACTAAGAGAATCGACCGGGCGGGGCAACTGGTACGTGAAGTCGTAGAGACAGACTGCAGTGAGATGGAGATTTTCGGAGCCTGGTTGAAAGTCGAGATGACCGGACCCTGA